AGTTTAAATTAAATATTGTCATGTTTTTAGTGCATGAATCTGAATTGAACAACCTGATAATGCTCACTCTGGTTAATGTTATCTGGTTGCTCACTACGTGCTCTTGCGCGCCGAATCCAATCAATTAAAAATGAAAACTGTTACCAGCGCGAGAAAAGAAATATCATCGGTTTTATTGATACATACATACATACATACGTACGTATTAGCGTTTTATATAATATAGATGCTACTACATTTAAAAAAAAAATTTTGTTATTTGATCTAATTTCTAGTTAGAAAATGCGTAAAGATATTAAAATTGTTATATTTTTTTCTTTCTAATAAATGAGTTTATCGGACAAAAATGAGTTAAAGAAATTAATTGTCTTCGATTCTACATATTTCATCAAGCATCCCTAGCTTATAGACACATTTTATATTTATAAATTAATTAAATTTAATATAATAAAAATTTAATCGAAAATTTATTGAATGAAAGCTGATCTATTTAAACGCGTGTTAAAACCCCTTATTTCCTTCTTTTTCTAAAATTTAAAGGCAATCTGCATTCAAATTGGTTCTGTACTTTATGTATTGTTTATTCGTTAATTATACTGCATTACATAAGACTCATACGAGCCCTTCTTCTTTGATGAATAATGTGCGGGTATCCTAAATTAGATTAACTGTTTTCAAAAATTTGTGAGAGAAAAAAGGAGAGAAAATGTTGCAAATTAACAAATTTTTAAAAATTTTAAAAAATTATGATGTAATTTCAATTATTTTTCTTTTATTTTCACATTTAGTACTTATAGCGGAAATTATTGAAAGTATTTTGAACTGAAAATTAAGAATTTGGGAGGGGGCAATTTATGCCCAGTTACATTAATTTGGGATTAGAATAATCCTTTTTAACCTCAACTGTTTTCCTATTAAAACATTTTGAAAACCATCATACTGAATTAGGATATATTGTATCTTAATTATACTAACTGTCATTATGTAATTCAAAATTTCTTTATCTAAAGTTTCCACCAATGGATGATAAACTTTCGTTTGATAATAAATCTTCATCTTCTTGAAATCCACCTGTGCAAAAATGAAATTTAGACGTATTAAATTTTAAACACAGACAGTACTTAAATCAATCAAAATGAGTAAAATATTCAATTAAAACTATAAAGAAAAAATATCTCAAAAGCTACCTGTAATAATTTTCAACTACATGTACAAAACAAACGTATAAGCAATATTTTATTATTTGATTTTATTCTTTGAGCAATATTTGATAAGAAAAATAAACTACATGAAAAATATTTATTTGTTAGATTAAATATGAATGTGTATGATAAATAGATATTTAATGAATAGAAAGGCATGTCCCTTGCTCGTTTTGATCACGAAACCCACGATGGCTTCGATTATTTTTCATTTTTTGGTAATAAACAAATAGTAAAATTAAAATCAAATGAAAGATTCCAAAAAGCTTTAATCCGTTAACAAAGATTTATTAACCAATTCAATTGATATAAAATTTAAATGTATTCCTCTTGAATGATTATTGGCCTGATCTTTCTTTATATTGAAGTAGGTTATGAAAAATGAATACTTTGCAATTTTGAGCTCCTAAAATTTTTATTTTTTTCCTGATTTTTCTTTTGCACGTGTTAGTAGATACATTTACCATAAAAGAAGGAATATCTTTTTTTTTTTTTTTTTTTNTTTTTTTTTTTTTTTTTTTTTTTTTTTTTTTTTTTTTTTTGAGAGAGAGAGAGAGAGAGAGAAGGATGTTTTAAGAAAAACTAATTTGAAAAAGAAAGCAGATTTTGCATTCTTTAAGATTTTGATTGGCTATATCTGATAAAAGCATCAATAACTTAGGAAAATGGTGAATCGCACAGTTTGTCCCAATAGTCAACTTCAATATTTAGTAAAGAAATTATTGGGTTGCTGTTTAAATAACTAAGATTTTCAGGGCAGAAAATCCCCCAAACCGAATTTTCACTCATTTAACAGAGCGTAACTCTAAAAAACGACAATGCCCCATGGAAACGAGTTCATATCCATAACTGGGTAACGATATATTAATATTATAGCAAAACATAATTTTAGGGGTGTAGATAAACCCCTCAAAACATACTTAAATTTCAAACGTGCGCAATATTCGTTTTCATTTCCTGCTTCAAATAAAAAAATTCAAGCCAATCGAAAATACGTCTATCATACATTGTCTGAAGTTCAGAATAATGGCTCTTAACACATATCCATACTATTCTCAATTTTCTTATCACTTAAACTTCTTTTCCAAATAGTAGCAACCTAGTTAATTTTGCTTTTTCTAGTAACTGCTGCCGTAAATTGCATAAAAGAGCTATATGAGCGGCTGTTTCACGATTTAAGGTTTAAATAGACGAGCTCATCAACTTATCATCAAATCATTAAACAACAATAAAACAGCAATTTCTGGGTCTATTTTTTATTGAAATTTTTAACAATAATTATCAGAAAACTTAAAATTAACACTAAATTAACACATTGCTGACCGGTCACGTGTTAACTCGTGTTTTCGTTAGCAGTGATCTCGCGGTGACTATTTTAAAAAGTGGGCGTAATTTTCCTTACTTTTCAAGTTTTACTATTTAATTCTATACCAATTTAATATAACTTTACGAAACCGGATATAATTTCAAAACTTGTGGTGTACCATTACACGTAGGTGATTGTTAACTTTATATCATACGGCACCAAAAATTAAAATGTTTTAAAGTTTATTTACTTTGTTTTACTTCCACATTCGCTTTCAAAACAATAGCCGGGCACACGGAGTATTTTTCAGAAAAGTTGCCGGTCAGCAATGTGTTAAGAAATTTTATTCGGCTGAAAGTATGATTTCAAATTCGCACGTACAGTCAGTTCTGAAGACGAAGGCGCGACTAGCATCGTGTATAGAATTTCCAGCATTGGGTTGCGGGCAATTATCAATCTTTGTGATTTTAACTAAACTCTAGTCTGTTATCGCAGCACTTAATTACCTTGCATAGAACATTGTTTTTGAAGCAGAGCATTTATGCGTTTTAAAAAAATTCTTACGGGTTTATTAAATTTCATTCTTTTATCGTTCTTTGATGTGAGAACTTCCATCATAGTTGCGAGATCTTCAGCATACCTGCATAATGGACCACTTGCAAGGTACGGCGAAACTCCTTCTGTTGCAGTGGGAAAACATCCTTGATTTGGGACCAAACCTAAAATTTTAAATACTGTCAATTAACTTATAAAGAAATTTAAATGATATTAAAATTCTTTAAGTATACCCTCAGTACAGAAATCCCAGTGGTCTGCCAAAAATATTCAAAATGTGAAATTAAATCATCAAAGAAATTTTATTTTGCAACCGGCGTTGAAGAATCTACGTTGACAATTTTGAGTTTACGACTGTTAATTTTAAAATTCACAGTTTAACACATTTGAACCCAATCCAGAAGACGAAGGTACTCCTGGATTAAGCATATAGGTCCTAACCCGCATTTACGTTACATGGATAGGAGAATCACGAAACCATTCATTACTAGCTTAAGGGCAACGGGATTCCAACCTATGATCCATCTACCACTGAAGATATGTCAGTATTGTGGTCAATTCGAGCCGAGAGAGAAATTCGTATCAACCTGTCTTCTCAGGAATTTGAACCTAGGTGACATCATTGGAAGGCGATTGCTCTATCCCCTGAGCCACCACGGCTCCATCAAAGCAATTCTAAATTCCTTCAATTTAGCAATCATTTGAATCAAATAGGTTTATAAATAGCCTGATATTATTAAATACATAAAAATAAATAGAATGAATTGGATCGCCCACGTGATTCAAATGAGTGACGACAACACAGTAAAAAAGATACTGCTTTTTAGACCCACTGGAAAAGGAAAGCGGGGAAGGCCGCGGTTAAGATGGGCTGACTCAGTGGAGTCTGATTATCTCGCAACTAATGAAAAAAATTGGAGATCAATGATAAATCGGAAGTCGTCATGGAGAAATCTTCAGAGGAAGGCAGTGGCTCACATTGGGCTGTCTGGCCAACTATGATGATGATGAGGTTTCATTCTGATTATTTTTTTTGTTACGCATGCATATACAGGTTTGTGTAGTAATTACAAATACGGCTTTTAAGCCCCGGACTTACTAAATAAATGCCAAGTATTTATGCATGTAATTGAGTTACTGAATCATTATGGTACAAGAAACGTTTTCAAAATAATTTTTTAAGAACGAGAAACACATTTAAGGATATAAATTTTGCTGTTAAATAAATTATATTTGGTCATCTGGGGCTCTGATAATATGTATTAGTATTTTTTTTTTTTAAAAAGGCCCATGTAGTACCCATGCTTCTACTTATTTTTCTTCAAGAATGAATAAATTATTTAGTTCATTGTTAGCGTTATTTTTCAATATTAAGACCTTCCCGACAACCGTATTATATTATTTATATCAAGCAATTTTTTACTGATTTGCAATAACTTAATTCGGATTTTTTTTTATCGCATATAGTGCTGCGAACTTTCGTAGGGAGTTTCTCGAAAGGGGTGAAAAATAATTTATCTATAAAATAGTTCTGAACTACATTGCGGAACCATAACTAAAACTTAGTGATATATACCGGCTCAATTAATAGAGAAAAAATAATTTTATTCTTTTTTATTCATTATTATTTATTGGTTTCTTGATTGCTTTACGTTGTTAGAGGAAGCAAAACAGGTACTTAGTAGTTCATCCCATTAAAATAAAGATTAACAGTATTCAGTATCACTTGGCATGATGCAATTGCTCGAGGCCAAATCATGACAGTCAAAAAGTTACCACTATTAAGTAATTTTAGCCGGTACTTATTACTTTCAAACTGCAGCAAAAAAAAACTAATTAAACGGTATTTGTATTAAAACTGAGTTAGTAACCAAAATACCAGTAGTGCCTATTACCAAAACTAATTACGCATCATGGGCGTCATCATTAATATACTTAGACATTAATATATTAGGATAATTATATACTATACAACATTAATATACTTAACATTAATATATTAGGTACTTAGCAGTTCATCCCATCAAAATAAAGATTAACTGTATTCAGTATCACTTGGCATGATGCTATTGCTCGAGGCCAAATCATGACAGTCAAAAAGTTACCACTATTAAGTAATTTTACTCGGTACTTATTACTTTCAAGCGGCAGCAAAAAAAAACTAATTAAACAGTATTTATATTAAAACTGCATTAATAACCCAAATACTAGTAGTGCCTATTACCAAAATTAATTAAGCATCATGGTCGTCAACATTAATAGAGCGATTATTCGCGGGTCCTCTAAATGAATACACATCATTTCTCCATTAATTTTACTTCTTAGTCCGTACCAAATTTTTTTATATTTTAATTCGAACCTGTAACCGAAATTAATCAAGCATCATTGGCGTCATTCATAGCAGAGATGCCAGCTTTCACCTATTTAAAAAAAAATTTGTAAAAAAAGTTTAACGAAAAACGAAATTTAAGTTTTTTGTAGTTCAGTATTTCTGTGCAATTGGATGTGTAGTTTCTACCACTACACATCAAAAAATCAAAGAATCATATGAAATACAACTTCAAAGAGAATACGTGATTATCCTTATTCTGCAAGTTTTATTATTTAATTCACCACCAATTTATTAAAACTTTTGCAGAAAGCGGAGCACTTGGCATTCGTGTAATAGTATGGCGATTTTTCTTTTCTTACTTTCCCTTTAAACGAATTAGCATTATGACGCCATTAATTTTTATTTTAACCACATATCTTATTTATTATTGGTTTTAAATAATTTAATTTTATAAAAAACATCATTTTAAATCATTATTGAAAGCAAAATAAAAACGTGATTTCAGATAATTTTAGGAATACTAATTTGGTGATGTTGTCCACGCATACTTGAGTTTATCTAACGTAACGAATAAATCATATTTAAATATTAAAGAACGTGTGATAAACTCTTTTTTCAGATTAATGATTTACATTAATGGCTATTCAGCATGGAACAAATAGAAACCAATTAAAAAATATCACCTCTCCAATACGATTTAGTTAAAATTTGCGAACGCGTTTTAGGTTCGGGAGCTAAAATTGTCTCTTTCACCCACTTTCCAAATTCAAGAACCTGGAATTTCGTCAACGGACCTGCAAAACGCTCACGAACAGTTCTGGGGTCATAAGAGAGACACACAAAATCCTCCTTTTATTAGTATAGATTACCTCTAGATGGCTTATGAGCAAATAAACCTGTGAAACATGCTGGAATTCGCACACTTCCTAATAGATCATTTCCTAGTCCAATTACAGAGCCAGCGGAACTTATGAGTGCACTTTCGCCTCCTAGTGTTAAATGAATAATAAGAACATTTTAAGTATCATGTTTGATTCACACATTATTAACATTTATGTTACAAACATTACAAATGCTAACGAATTTAATGGATTTTATTCAATATATCGTAAGAAAAATATTTATTCTATATTAAAAAATAGTCTTGCATTTTATTTTGCTGCGAAAAATCTATTGTAACTAAAAATTTGGAAAATATAAAGGTGTGTATAAAAAAAATAAATATTCAATAATTAGTTCGAAAATTATTAGCTTTTAAACGTGTAATAAGAAATACTATAAGGATCACTCCATGACCCACAGAAAAAGGACCCTCCGATATAGGATGTGTTTAAATAAATTTTTTCAAAATTCCAAATTTTGATAAAAATATTTAAAATTTAAATTGCTTTTTTTTCATAATTTTGCGTTACATTTTGCTTTGATGTGAAAAACATAAAAGTTTCAAATTTAAAATTATGAAGGGTTAAAGAAATTTTACAAAGAATATAATAAAATAAAAAAAGCAACATTTGATAGTTAGTTTGAGAGTTATTAACTGCTTATGGCAAAAAAAAAACTTGTGAATTGTAGTATTAATTAGCGACTATTTATCCATTGGTGTGGGAAAATTTATTTAAGGCCTGTTTAGACGATCCAAGTTCTTGGACGAAGATTTATTGATATTGATGGAGACTTGCTTTGCTTTGAGCTTGGATCGAGTAAACGATCATCCAAGTACTTGGTCCAAGTCCTTGGACGATAGTAAAGCATGTTCTACTTTCCATCCAAGTTTTTTCTCCCTCAACCAATCAGCGTCTTAGGTTTTGTGACGTCAACAAGCAGGCATCAGATTACGTCATTTTGTTGTCTGTTTTCATATATTTTAATCCAAATAAATTTATCTGCTACGGTTTATTTGTGTTATTATGAATTTATTTAGTTATTTTAAACATATTTAAGTATGATTTTATAATGTTGAAAATGAACAATGCGCATGCGCAAGTTTTTCTTCCGACCAATCGGTGACATTCAAAAACTTGGATAGATTCGACGACTCATCCAATTTCTTGGACAGAGAAATTCCTCCATTTTCTCGGATTCAAGAACTTGGACTGTGGAAACAGGCTCTTATCTCTCACTAGTTATCTTTATTTTGTTATCTCGTGATTCAGTTGATGTCAAAAGTAATAAAAGTAAATAGAAAGAAGTTTTAAATTGGCCGATATTAATTTTACCATTTATCTAAAAATTTTTAAGATTTGGAAGAACTAGATGAAAAGAGATAAAAATTGCTATTTGAATTGTTCTATTGATACATGTCTTGTTAACGAGTAAAATTACTTCCTCCTTATTTCTGTTTATTCAGTTCCGTATATTTTAGGTACTTTTTTTAAAAGTCATATGGATTATTTTTAAAATCCAGATAGCTATTTACTTCATTACGATTGACTTATTGACGAAATGTTCAAACATAAAACTACAATAATTGTATATTTTGAGAAAGAAAAAAAAATAGGGACTGGGTGAAGGGGGGGGGGATACGATGATGGATGAGAAAGAATTATAGGAGATGGGTGTGCGGAGTGAGCAGGACGTAAAGCTTCATGTTGTTTTTTTTTCTTTCAAAGTTTTACATTTATATTTTGAATTCTATTTTATGTAAATTACTCTAAGGTAAAAACTGCGTTGCTTTTAACAAAATATTCTTTTTTTTTTTCATTGCAAAAATTACTTAACCCTTTAATGGGCCCTTTATTTCTAGTAAAGGTAAATTAAAGTATTTTTGGAATTGAAATTGTTTTAAGAACAGTAATTGATATAAAAAAAAACTCATTTAGTTTATAAAAATGCCATTTTTTTGAAGGTAAATATATTTAACATTACCTATTAGGAGCTTACTGACTTTTATTTTTCTTTATTTATAAAGTAAATTCCTTAAATGCTGCAAACTTCAAAAGGAATTCTGTATTTTATAACTTTTACACGTTTTTTAAAAGTGACAAATGGTTACCAATTTCATTCAAACTCACTTCAAGAAAGCTGAAGTTATTGAAAAATGGAAACCTAAATAAAAAGTGGTAAAACATGGTGGTAAGTATACTTACCACGGCCTTCAAAAGGGTTAAATTCGTATTAACAAAAACTTTATCATTAAAATTGTTTGAACTCCACACTTCATTCTTCATTATAAATTCTTTAATAAATCGAAATCGACTTAATCTTACACTTGCTTTACGTGTATCTCTGTAACAGGTTTAAAACCCCAAATTGTTGTCTAAGCTAACAAGCAACCACGTAATCATATTCTGTTGCTTATTTAATTCTATTCATTCTGATGTTCAGATTTTGAATGTTTGTTGTTTAGTTTTTGAATATTTGTTGTTTCATTTTCATTTTTTTTTTCGTATTCACTAGTATTCTTTTGCAATCTAAACATGTTTACATAATTCAGTTCCAATATATATTTTGCTATCTGTATAGCAAAATTAATATTTGTGTATCAGAATTAATCTAAATTTTATTTATTCTTAAATATTTTTAGCTTCTAAATATTTTTTTATTTCTGAGAGTATATTCTGATGATCAAAATCAAATGGTCAAAATTTGTTTAAATTTTAACTAACTAAATTAATTAACTGCAGTTAAATAACTAAAGCCTTTTGAAAAGAAAGCTTTAGTTAATAACAATTTTACTCAAGAGAAGTTCTACTTTATCTGTTGGAAAGCACTAACAAGTGAAACTAGGGAAGTGTGACTCGCCAATTTTGAAATAAACTAGTGGGATGTATGCCTTATGAGGAATAATTTCAGGGGCAACATTCGTTTCTGCCCATAGAAGGTTCTGTGAGAGATAAAAAATAATTCAATACATTGAAAAATCGGTATTTTTTTACTTCAATGCAGACTATTAGTTATTGTAATTATCTCATACTCCAATTAATTTTGTGGCGCTTTCACGTACTATATAATGCATATTTATTGTCAAAATTGATTTCGAAAATTTTATCTATCTGTAGTTTTCAGAAAAACCTGCTAGGTTAATTTTTAAAAAAATTGACATCAAATTTTTAAAAAAAAATTTTCAAAAAGTTTTCTAAATTAATTGAAGTATATGTAATTGCAAATCAATTAATTAATTTGCTAATTAATTTATTAATCAGCAAATTAATTAATTAACCAATTAATTACAAATTTATTGGAGTATGAGACAATTGCAATAACTAATAGTCTGCATTGAAGTAATAAAATACCGATTTTTCTATAAATTGAATGATTTTTTATCTCTCACAGGACCTTCTATGGGCCGAAACGAATGTTGCCAACTGAAATTATTCCTCATAAGGCATACATCCCACTAGTTTATTTCTAAATTGGCGAGTCACACTTCCCTAGTTTCCCTTTTGTAAGATAAAAAACGGCTGCTTTGTACTTAGTTCAACAAACTTGGTAGCAATCTACAGACTCATTTAAATCAGTTTCAAACAAGTTAAATTTTCGAACTGATACAAGAGAGTTAATGTCTGAACATTGATGAAGCTTTATGATACCTCATATCGAAGACTGCTGCACAAAATAGAACCTAGCCATTAACACCACCAAATCTTCACTACTAATTATTAGAAAACAAAGTAAAAAGAAAGTTATTTATCCAAATATTACTCTATTCAATGATACAATACCACTAGTTCGAAAGGCCACCTACCTAGTCGTCACCATTACTAGTACTTTAATCTGGAATTCCCATATTGATAATATTATTAGCAAAGCACAAGGGGTCTATCGAGCCCTGAAGTCGATTTTAAATTATAACTCAAAACTTGCACTCAAAGCAAAACGAACGCTATACTTTCAATGCATTCGTCCGATCATCAGATATGCAGCCCCTGCATGGAGCATAGCCACTGCTACTCAAAAGAAGAAACTAGAGAGTACTCAAAATAAATTTCTCAGATACATCACTGGAGCCCCCAAATCCATGAGTATGAAAGATATAAGAAAAGATTTAAAAATCAACAAAATAGATGAACATATAGCTGAACTATGTACAAATTTCTTCAGAGGTGCTCTCTCATGTGATACGTGCAACAACTTTAAAAACTTTGATTATGAGCTCATAAAAGACAATATAAAATATAGCCCGGTAACCGCCTTTTTCCTATCCGATCGGGTACTGTAACGTAAATTTTGTAAATAGTTGTAAATACTTGTATATAATTTTTCACTCGATATTCACCTACATATTTTTGCGCATTTATTATCATGTATTTTTCCTATTTCTCTGAGGCTATGTGGCTACTGTGTGCCTGCGAAACTCGGGGGTAATGTCTCGGGGGGTGGCGAGGCAGGGCAGTCTGCCACAAAAACCTCTTCTCTCTCTTAAATTTGTTAGTTTAATTTCGCTATTTTATTTTCATTTTCTCTCAGTAAGTGTTACTGAACCCTAACTTTCACCATTCAATTGCGCTTCGGCGATTTATTATACATTCCTACTCAGATGAATTAGTTCGAGCCTCTCTCGGGGCTGATGCTAAGATAACTACCACATATGAGTATGATGAAGCTTCAACATTTGCATTAATCTATTTCGTTTCTTATACTCTAACAATACATTTTCGTAAAAGGAATATCTTCAATTGTCTACTATGACTTAGTAAATGTCAGAGTAGACAATTAAATGCTATCCCTAAAATGCCACACTGTTGCCAATTGGCAGAATGTTCTTTTTTTTCTTCTTCACATTTCTTACTGTATTTATACTTTCATTTGCCCTAGTGAGGTTTTAAAGAATTTTTTGCAGGAAAGTCTCCAATCATATTAAAAGTTTATTGGTAACTAGGAAGTTAAATTTTTATTTCAATTCATGACTTAAAAGAATTATCTATTGAAGAGAACCATAAATATTTTTTTTATTTCCAATAAGCTGCACAATCGGTCTTGCCGATCAGCAGACCTAGTGCGTTCTCCAGATGTGGCATCCACTCTCTCAGGACCACCACAATTGGTGAGATACCGTTGGTCATGTTAATTTGGACGTCTAGTTTCTGCCACACTAGATGGCAGCACCGAGACTCTATTTGGATGCTAACACTAGGAATCTAATTTTACCGGAAATGCCAAGAGACAATAAGGCACTCCAGGGATCTTTTACATGCCGCATAATTATACAACATGGCCGCTGAGGATTTTCTGCATCCCGAAAATCTGGTGTCTGGGCCGGGGATCGAACTCACAAACTTGGGCTCAGAAGGCCGACGACAAACCAACTGCGCCACCCAGCAACACCATAAATATGTAAGTAAATCTTTTTGTTTTGTTTAAAAAGACATTCACTCAAGAATTAAGGACAGCCTTGATATATAATTAAGCGGACATAAGATTCAATTCATTTCCCTTATTTGAAAGTCAGTTTTCATTTGCTGGAATTCCACGCACAAGAAAACTTAAATGAATACTTACCCGAACTCCCACCAGGTGTTCGATTACAGTCATACGGATTTAAAGTCTTTCCGTAGAGAATATTTGTTGTATCCAATCCTAATCCACTTTCAGCAGAGTTCGTGGTAGCCAATATTATTGCCCCAGATGATTTTAATAATTCTACAGCGGGTGCATCTTCAGTAGCTATAAGATCTTTAAATAAAGTCGAAGCTGCAGTACTATGGCATCCTAAATATGTAAAATATAAGTAACCTATTAGAAAAGTGCATGATATTAAGCATAATTAACTAAATAGAATGATAAAAAAATATTGTAGCAAAATCATTACATTATAATATTTAAAAAAAAAAATCACGAGGAAATGTGTTTTGTAGTGTAATTTATGAATAAGAATCATGGAATAATGGGAAATAAATTCGGGATATTAATTCTGGTCATAAATTCAGAATATTAACCAAAACTGACAATTTGAGAGATAAATGAGAAACAAACAAACATTTAAGGTAGAAATGTGCTTCGTAGTATAATTTATGAATAGGAATCATGGAATAATAGGAAATAAATTCAGGATAATAATTCCGGATATAAATTCAGAATATATTAATCACAACTGACAATTTGAGAAATAAATGAAAAAGAAAAGAAAGAAAAGAAACATACTTTTATTTAATACTAGAATAATAATTAACAGTATTTAGTACATAGAAGTACATTTATTTTTTATGAATTTTTTTTTATATTCAGTATTCGAAAGTGTAACATTTTCGAAAGTGTAACATTTAGTAAACCTCCTAAAAAAACTATTATCTTAGATACTTAATCTGTAGATGGTAACCATTTTAAAACATGAAATCTTGTATAGTTTGTCTAAAGTAAGAACTTCCCTAGCCATTTGTCTGCACCCGTAGCCGTGACTATGGTAACGGGGTATAANATTCTGAAGATAATACTTAAATGTCATTAATCATGGTTGACTTTACACACCAAAATATGAGTAGAGGGGATATTTTCCTTCTGTGATTTGCTGCGCCTACTATTGTGGATTTCAAACTTGCATACATTTATAAAAGAAAACTTGTAGAGGTTTGCCAGGGGGTAGTGGCTACAAGATATACCCTGTTGAGTTTCTTCCCATGTTTTGTTTTCAGTGTGATGATAGCCACTGGAAGTTACCAAGACCTGTTGATTATTCTGCCACAGGTGATGATAAACTAATTTTCCGGAGTGGAAAAGAATTTTAGCTAGATTTATAATGTAAATTTTTCTGTTTCACTAATTTTAGGGGATATTTCCATATATTAACCTGTCACACTAACTACAATAGCCAAGCCCCAGACCGTCGCCAATAGCCCATTGTGCAGCTCTAGTGCGACGTAAATTAACTAAAACAACAACTACACTATCAAAGTACAGATACCTAATGTATTTTTTTTGTCGTATGCCTGTTTTAGACAGTGGGGGTGCGATTGTTCCTGTTTTTCAGTGGCGCCATCTATGGCCAGGAATTCGACTTCTACCACGCCATTCACTCAACCACAACCCGTTTATAGGGCGGGTCACATTCAAACACAAAAGAGAAAGGACATAGAACACACACAGAGAGAAAAAAACATCCATGCCTTGGCCGGGATTCGAACCCAGGACCTTTCTGATGCAAGGACAGTTCCCTGCCCCTAGCACAGGCTCTGGCACCTAATGTATTAGGAAGTAGAGTGCTCACTCAACTCTATTTCTAAAACACCGACGTGACCCAGGTTCAAATCCCAGAGATGAGTGGTTGCTGTGAGTTTTGTTTCCGGCTTTCAACGACTGTAATGCTAGCGTAAAATTATCCTAAGGGACGCATATTATGCATTAGTATCCCCTTGCCTTCACGCTAACCGAAAGAAGTTCTTGTGGTTTTTCTCTCTGTGTAATACAGGTTAGTTCCATGAAAAAGTCCATCAGGGAGACAAGTTTGTCCAAATGCTTGTTCCTGCAGTTCCATTGTCTTTTTTGGCTGGATTCAAAATTAAATGACTGTAATGTTGATCGTTGACGGTCGCAACACAAAAATTTATCGATTGTTCATAGACAGTAATAAAATAAAATAAATACTTATTGTAAACATAAATATTTTCAAAAGTTTGAGTCCTTTATAGTTTTCACGTAAACCTTTCTCTAAATATCTTGACGAAAATTACAAATTTTTTGTTATGTTTGAAATTTTTAAGTCAGAGTGTTTTTTTTTTTTGTTGATACATTTAAATTTTTTTGAATGCAATCTAGAGGAATAATTACTTTGAATTTAGCTCCAAAATATTTTCTCGCGAACTGAAATATTCATCTGCCTTCGACAACTGCGTAAATTAGCAGGAAATAAAATGTTTTGTTGAGTTGCATTCAAATTATGTTTTACTTGCAATCAGTCTATGAATTTGTAATTACCTCCTATATGAATCCGAAGATTTATAATATTTTTATAACATTATTAAAAGTAATGATAATGAAAAGATGCTAAATATGTTATTATTTTAAAGGTAATTAATTGCAATTTTATAAATGCTAACGGTATCAACCGTATCGTGTTAAAGACACGCTTATTAAACATTTAGTTACTGCAGTTGGCTTCCCTGTGGCGACGAAATTAAACGATGCACTACCTCGCGAAGAATTCACATTTTATGTGAATATTTATTTATAATTATATTTATACCGGCTAAATACGGTACTTGTAACACGAAAGGCTTAAGAGTGAAATGGCTTTAATAAAAACAACAGAAACTTTACCTCATAATTTTACTCTAAATTCGTAAAAGATTTATACGTATCTGATCAAAAAATATCTTGTTTTTGTAAATGATTAGTTCTATCATTATCAGTATGTAACTGATACTAAACAAAAATGACGCATCTCACATAGAAGGAGAAAGAAATGTTTGGTTTTCGGTGTTCTACTTAAGAAATCTGAGAATTTCTTCTCCTTTAATTGCAAAATTAGCGAAAAATAACTAAGCATGAACTGAAGAATTATTAACTTATCCGATGATAAAATGAATACCAGTAACTTTATTGTTCTCTTTAATAGAGGACGATAATTTTCTTAAAACCTGACTTTTTTCCAGCATTACTGTTACACAGTAAAATATTTCGCTTTAATTTACTAGAAATTGCTTAGTAGCATTAAAGAATACTCATCAGTTGAAAATCACCTGTAACTTGATCTACAATCAGTTCCTGCTTGTTTCACTACAAGAGAAATCGTTGTATATATATATATATATA